TTAAATATACAAAGTCATGCAAAGAAAGGGTCTGAATCCAAGAATACTGTACCCAGCAAGACTATCAATCAAAATTAAAGGGGAAATCAGGAGCTTCACAGACAAAAAAAGACTAAAGGAATTTATCTCCACCAAACCAGCAATGCAAGAAATGCTAAAGGGTCTACTGTAAAAATAAAGAAATAGGAAGAGAAGAAGGAACACAGGGGTATGGAATAAAAATGCATCAAATGAGTACCTATCATTAATAACATTAAATGTAAATGGTTTAAATGCTCCAATCAAAAGACATAGGGTAACAGATTGGATAAGAAAACAAGACTCATACATCTGTTGTCTACAAGAAACCCACTTCAGAAAAAGAGATGCACACAGACTGAGGGTGAAGGGATGGAAAAAGGTTTTCCAGGCAAATGGAAATGAAAAGAAAGCTGAGGTAGCAATAATCATATCTGACAAATTAGATCTCAGAGTGAAGGACATAACAAGAGATAATGAAGGCCACTTCATAATACTAAAGGGAGCAATAAAACAAGAAGAAATAACCCTGGTAAATATATATGCACCCAATACGGGAGCACCCAAATATTATACATAAAAAAACTGCTGGAGGACATTAAGGGAGAGATTAATAGCAATACAATCATAGTAGGAGATTTTAATACCCCACTATCACCCTTCGACAAATCATCAAAACAAAAAATCAGCAAAGAAATATAAATCCTAAATGACTCACTAGACCAGATGGAATTAATTGACATCTTCAGAACATTCCACCCCAAAGCCACAGAATATACATTCTTCTCAAATGCACATGGGACATTCTCAAAGATAGACCACATTTTGGGACATAGGTAAAGTCTCTTCAAATTCAAGAAGATAGAAATCATATCAAGCATCTTCTCAGACCATAATGGCATAAAACTGGAAATTAACTACAATAAAAATAATCCAAAGAAATCATACACATGGAGACTAAACAGCATGCTATTAAACAAGGACTGGGTTACCAGAGAAATCAAGGAAGAAATTAAAAACATCCTGGAAACAAATGACAATGAAAACACAACAATCCAAAATCTATGGGACACAGCAAAAGCAATTTTGAGAGGGAAGTTCATATCCTTACAAGCCTAATGCAAAAAACTAGAAAAAGGGGTAACAAATGATCTAACTCTACAACTCAAAGAGTTAGAAAAAGAGCAACAAGAAAAGCCCAGTGTAAGCAGAAGGAAGGAAATAACAAAAATCAGAGCACAGATAAATGACATAGAGACCAAAGAAACAATACATAAGATCAACAAAACCAAGAGCTGGTTCTTTGAAAGGATAAACAAGATAGATGGACCTCTAGCCAGGCTAACCAAGAAACAAAGAGAGAGGACCCAAATAAACAAAATCAGAAATGAAAGAGGTGAAATAACAACAGACCCACCGAAATAGAAAATAATATACAAAATACAAAATACTATGAACAACTCTACTCCAACAAACTGAACAACCTGGAGGAAATGGACATATTCCTAGAAAAATACAAACTTCCAAAACTCAATCAGGAAGAATCTAAAAATCTCAATAAACCAGTGACTTGGGAAGAAATTGAAACAGTCATCAAAAAGCTTCCAGCAAACAAAAGCCCAGGGCCAGATGGCTTCACAGGAGAGTTTTACCAAACATTCAAGGAAGAACTAAAACCTATCCTCCTCAGACTATTCCAAAAAATCCAAGAGGAAGGAACACTTCCAAACTCCTTCTATGAAGCCAGCATCACCCTAATACCAAAGCCAGATAAAGACAACTCAATGAAAGAGAATTACAGGCCAATATCCCTCATGAACATAGATGCCAAAATCCTCAACAAAATTCTAGCAAATCGACTCCAGAAGAACATCACAAAGATCATACACCACGATCAAGTAGGATTTATTCTAAGAATGCAAGGATGGTACAATATCCGCAAATCAATAAACGTGATACATCGCATAAACAAATTGAAAGATAAAAATCATATAGTCATATCAATTGATGCAGAAAAAGCATTCAATAAAATCCAACACCCTTTTCTGATAAAAACTCTTAACAAGGTGGGAGTACAAGGATCATACCTCAACATAATAAAAGCTATATATGATAAACCCACAGCCAACATTATACTCAATGGGCAAAAACTAAAACCATTCCCTCTAAGAACAGGAACAAGACAGGGATGCCCACTCTCGCCACTCCTGTTTGACATAGTACTGGAAGTACTAGCCATTGCAATTAGACAAGAGGAGGAAATAAAAGGCATCCAAATTGGAAAAGAAGAAGTAAAGTTATCCTTATTTGCAGATGACATGATATTGTACATAAAAAACCCAAAAGACTCCATTAAAAAACTAATTTACTTAATAAATGAATTTGGCAATGTAGCAGGATACAAAATTAATGCCAAGAAATCCATGACATTTCTATACACCAACAGTGAAACTGCAGAAACAGAGACTAAAAAAGCAATTCCATTTACCATTGCACCAAAAAAATTAAGATATCTAGGAATAAATTTAACTAAGGAAGTAAAGGACCTATATGCAGAAAACTACACAACACTGAAAAAAGAGATAGAGGAAGATGTAAGGAAATGGAAGAACATACCATGTTCATGGATTGGTAGAATCAACATCATCAAAATGTCCATACTTCCTAAAGCAATCTATAGGTTCAATGCACTCCCCATTAAAATACCAACGACATATTTCACCGACCTAGAAAGAACTCTCCAAAAGTTCATTTGGAACAATAAAAGACCCCGAATAGCCACAGCAATCCTGAGAAAGAAGAGTAAAGTAGGAGGGATCTCAATACCAGACTTCAAACTATATTACAAAGCCACTGTTCTCAAAACAGCCTGGTACTGGCACAAGAACAGACATATAGATCAATGGATTCGAATCGAGAACCCAGATATCAACACAAATCACTATGCTCAATTAATATTTGACAAAGGAGGCATGAATATACAATGGAGTCAAGACAGTTTCTTCAATAAATGGTGTTGGGAAAATTGGACAGACACATGCAAAAGAATGAAACTAGATCACCAACTTACACCATTCACAAAAATAGACTCAAAATGGATACAGGACTTAAACATCAGACGGGAAACCATAAAAATACTAGAAGCATCCACAGGCAGCAAAATCTCAGACGTATGCCAAAAGAACTTCTTCACTGATACTACCCCTAGGGCAATGGAAGCTAAAGAGAAAATAAACAAATGGGACTACATCAAAATAAAAAGCTTTTTTACAGCAAAAGAAACCATCAACAAAACAATAAGAAAGCCCACTGTGTGGGAGAACATATTTGCAAATGATACCACTGATAAAGGTTTAATCTCCAACATCTACAAACAGCTTATACAACTAAATAAAAGGAAGATGAATAATCCAATTAAAAAATGGACCTAAATAGAACATTTTCAAAAGAAGACAGAAGGAAGGCCAAAAGGCACATGAAAACATGCTCAAAGTCACTAATTGTCTGAGAGATGCAAATCAAAACAACAATGCGGTACCATCTCACACCTGTCAGAATGGCCAACATCAACAAGTCAACAAATGACAAGTGTTGGCGAGGTTGCGGAGAAAAAGGAACCCTCATGCACTGCTGGTGGGAATGCAGACTGGTGCAACCACTGTGGAGAACAGTGTGGAGTTTCCTCAAAAAACTGAAAATGGAACTCCCATTTGACCCAGTAATCCCACTTCTAGGAATATATCCCAAGAAACTAGAAACACCAATCAGAAAGGATATATGCACCCCTATGTTCATAGCAGCACAATCTACAATAGCCAGAATTTGGAAACAGCCTAGGTGCCCGTCAGCAGATGATTGGATCCAAAAACTATGGTACATCTACACAATGGAATACTATGCTGCCATAAAAAAAGAAGGAATTCTCATCATTTGCAGCAATCTGGATGGAACTGGAGAACATCATGCTGAGTGAAATAAGCCAATCAATGAAAGAGAAACACCACATGACCTCACTCATTTGTGAATGATAAAGAACATTATAAACTGATGAACCAAAAGATAGATATAGAGACAGTATATTAACAAGTGGACTGCCAAATTACAGCGGGGAGGGGAGGAAGATCTGGGGGAGATAATAGATCAACTGAAGGACTTTTATACATGCATATAAGTACAACCAATGGACACAAAACTCTGGGGAGGGGGGGATGTGTGGGAGGGAGGGAGGGGGGCAAAAAAATCAATAAAATATATTTTAAAAAATAAATAAATAAAAATAAATAAATAAAAATTAATGCAGGTGACATGACACTGGAAGTGAGAAGAAGGAAACATATATAACTAATATGCTGGTGCCTGAACCCACCTTCTCTTTAAAATGATCAAATAACACCTGAAGAATGAGGACATCAACTGGAGTTGGCATTTTGACATCCGTGATGTAGACATTTCTGCACTGCCTGAAAGTCCCTTCCACATGGGTCCAAACCTTCCTTCTCCCAGTCCTAGGCCCCATCTTGATAGAAGGACACTGAATATAGCTGCAAATTTTATCCACCCCCTTAAGAACCAAACACTCTCCTTCCCCAGTCAGAGCCCTGAGTATTCATGCTCTGATAATTATATACTAGAGGCCCAGTGCACAAATTTGTGTATGGGTGGGGTCCAGCTGTCCAGTCCTGATGGGAGGGAGTGGCTGTGGGCAGTTGGCCAACTGGCCCCACCCCCATCAGGGCGTTGGGGGCTGACCAGGGGTGGGGCTGCCCAGGGCAAGGGAAGGGGTCTGATCAGGGCCGGATCAAGCTAGTTTGCTGCCACAGTACATGTCATAGACACCTGTCATTTTGGTCATTCCGGTCATGCTGCCATTCCAGTCACTGGGCTTTTATAGATATAGATTTTCTATAATTTGACCAATACTTTAAAAGAATAGCTTTCACCAGAAGTAAGTTTTAAGTTAATTATACCCTAGGATCGCTTACCCATACAGTGTATCGAGGCTCCAAATTACCACAGTCTTTTGCAAAAATATAAGAACAGTTTCCTGGGAAATAATAGTAGATGCCATCAAAAGTTTCAAAATGGTACTGTCCCCAGGTTTTGCAAATCCCATCTCTGCCATTGCCCATGTTTGGCACTGAAAAGAAATAGAGTAATATTTAGTAGAATAAAATAAATTACACCTGTTTCTGACAAGGTTCAGTCATGAGTGGTGATTCTATTGCATTAAAATAAATATTTTCTTCTCTGGTGGTCAATATTAGAGGAAGAGATAACTAACATAAAATTACGGGTTGTTCTCAAAACCATTAAACTTCCCTGAAAGGAAACATAGCCCTCAAGTTGCTTTGAAGAAAGAATTTGTGTTAGAAACTTCCTTATGTTTGTTCCCACAGGAAGATTCTGGAAGAAAGGAGGCATAGGGAGAAAGATACAGTAAGAGAAAGCAATAGTGATAAATCAATATAATGGCTCACAAAAGAATAAAACATCACCACTGAGTGTCCTAAAAATTAGTACTGGCAACATGACAGTGTTCCAGTCTCCACAATGTTTTCAAAACTATTTTAATAGTATCCACAGAGAAAAATAACCACTGACAAAAAATATCATGTTTATACATCTGAGGATGGGAGCATTAGTCATCTAAAGTATGCTGGAATTTAAAAATTCATGATCTCTATATGTATAACCCATGGACAGACAATAGTGCAGTGAAGGCCTGAGGTGGGAGCAGAAGTGGGGTAGAAGGGATCAATAAAAAAGGAAAGAGAGATACCTGTAATATTTTCAACAATAAAGGTAAATTTTAAATAAATAAATATTTTTAAAAATCATGATTTTTAAGCTGGCTGAATTTTAAGCAATGTTTGTCTTAAATTATATATTATCTCCCATTATATACATGCCTACCTCCCTTATTCTCCTTGTGGATAGCCCTCTATTCTATTTGGATTTTTGAGATCCTCCCCTTTAGAATAATAAGAAAATCAATGGCATTTACTAAGTAATCGATATGTGTAAAATATTTCAATGCCCTACATAAAGAGTTTAAAGATAAGGCACAATCATGTCTTTTCTTTTGTAATTTTACCTAAATTTATTAGCCTTGGCAACTTTGGCCTTTTGGGAGGAAAACAGAGAGTGATTCATTACTCAGGTAGTCTTCTTTGACTATATGCCTCACCTCTGATGTACATTTTTATAGAATCTGATACTTTATAGATGTCACAAGTGTGATTAATGTGTATCTGCTGTGTGTTAGTCCCGTCCTCTAGACTACAACTTCCAAGAGAACAGGAACTTGTCTATATTATTCACTACTGTACCTCAGAGCCAGCCTGGGATCTAGATACTCAATAAATGCCCATGACACCAATTAATATTTATTGATTATGATTGATGTAGCATCCTAACCTAGACACCATGGTTAAAAATATTTTTAAAGAATCCTCTGCTTTGAAGAGCTCTCACTATTATTTCTATATTATGTACAGAATGTCCAATTAACTCAAAGTCAAAAAGAATGTGTGGCTCCAAATAATAAATCTAATTTATCAAGCAAAAGGGAGATGAATGAGAGCCTGGTTCTAATGGGCTAGTGTCATCTAGAGTAGGAAAAACTGCTTGAGGAAACAGTAGAGATAAATGAGAAGAGAAAGCAGGCATATCTATTTTCTTTTACGTTGTATCTAAATTGCTGGGAATGAATTGTGAGCATTCAAGTTAATATACAATGTGATGGGTCCAAATCCCAATGGATGAACCCTAATATAGCAAATTATGCCTTAATGTCTTCTTCAGCAACTCATAATCCTCTCATAAGTATCTCTGAAACTTACCAATCTGGCACCGTGTCCCAAGTGCCTGAAATATTTGGCAGTCACACGTACCAGTCTTAGAACAGAAAGCTCCGTTAAGGCATTCATGAGGGCAAGAACCTGAGGGACAAAATAAATAAGTTATCTCCTGGCATGCATCAGTTCTTATAAACATAATATGTCAAGATTTAGCTTGGACTAACTGTAACCACGATTACTATTAGCTCAAACAGAGCCCTGGGCATCTTGCCTTGATGAGCTAAAGAATTAAGCCCATCAAAGCTTTATCTAGCTCATTTCATTATGTGTGCTGTGAAACAAGAAAGACAGGCTTTCACATCTCCAACTATCCTGAGAGCAAAGGTTAGCCTCCTCCAAGCCATTGAAAGGTCAGGTTCCCATGTAAGGAATCCCTGTCCCCAGATGATGAGATCCAGAAATACACAAGCAGCTGATGATTCCCTTGATGGAGTTTGGTGCCCGTTGTGTGTCCAGTGAGGTCCTTCCCCAGGAGCAAGTGCTGTGCTAAAGAATCACGTCCTTGTATTACCGCAAAGGGGCAAAGTATAAAACTCAAAACAAAACTCCCATTTTTAAGAGAATGATTAAAAATTTAATTTGAAGTTTACGTATTAATCCTCAGGCTTAATTACAAGTGATGCGTTTTTTTCTGCCCATATTTAATTTTAATGGGAGAGAAGCCAAAGTCGCAGCTGGCTGTCATCAAAAATATTTTCTTTCTTTCATGGAAAGAAAACTCGCCCCAAAGGATTATGTTGAAAAGAGAAAGCAAGAAACTAGGAGCTCCTGAGCGAGTTTTAAAAATCCAAATGAATCGGTGAAAATTTTTCCTCTAAAAAGGGGAGGACAAGAGGCAGCTGGCAAAACTCAAGCAAGGATTTAAGTAACACACAGAGAGAACTAGAGGACATCTTTGAGTCACTATAAAGCATTACCAAAGCATTGGCCTTTCTGGAATACTTCAAGGTCATGAAAGAACTTATCTAACTGCGGGAAATGACCCACAGTTTTGCCAAAGGCAAGAATTGGGAAACCCTATTTTCCTTCCACCTTAAGATCCAGGGATCTAAAGTTTCTCTTTACACTTAAACACAAACTCTATAAGTAGTATATCTTAACTGAAGAAAAATGAACTGTTTCAACTTTGATCATAAATATAGATAAGGAATATTTTTCATAAACTTAAATGCAGGGTTTTCTCCCTAAGGGGAAATACTATCTTTAAATTTTATCTTATATCACCATCTTGAATTTTTACAACAAATAATGCCTAAAAGATTCAGGTGAACAAATGTATTTCCTTCAAAAAATATTTACAGCCCTATTTATTCTCTGAAAACAAATATTAAGCCAAAACAGAAAGTCTTATTATTTTAAATGCAAGGAAAAACAAATTAAATTTCAAACTACTGTCAGCTTTCTTCTTAACAGAAACAGGAAATCGATAAGCAATAAGAGGATGTCAAAGAGGGACCAGCAGACAAGTAATTGCTTTAGAAAATAAGTTTCTGATGCCCAAGGATATCCGTCCTGGTCATATAGTTATCAGCTTTGTCTGGGTGTTTAACCCTGCTTGTTTCCAAAAAAGAAGTGAACCTAAATTATCACTAAGTTATTATTACCACCCTGGCTCCATTTCCTTCTTGCATTCTTCAGAAATAATAAAGAGTTGATTCACTATATCACCCAAAAAAGGGTCTTTCGGAGAAAGCAAATGCAAAAATATACATGTAGCACTGACCTTTTATTTTACCCTCACCCCAATTAATAGCTTCATGGAAGAAGTATCTTGGAGATGTTGCTTCAAACTTGAAAAGAAAGAAATAAAAATTCAAGAAAATTAGATTATTTAAATCAAGCCAAACAGGCAAATTGGAAAATAGCTAAAAATACAGAGATTATAAGGTACTAAGTTTCTATTTTCTTCGGTTACTGAGGCAATCTCAGTGAGGCCGTGGTTTTGCCTCAACATGACTTTGACATGTTCTTCATCCTATCTGACCTCAGCTCTCCTGCCTCCCTACCCTCCTCGGAAAAGAACCTGGTTGGAGCCTTTATTTTTGCATTAACTGACTGCTTGACTGCTCTGCCTGCAGAAGTAGCAGTTCTCTGATGCTCCCAAGTGCAGAAGGGTCTGGATAAAATACATGAGGCCAATGGACTGACAATGATGTTCCCACTGCCTGCAGACCCATCTGTGAAGGCACCATCCACAGAGGCTTCTGGGGCTGCAGAGTGTCACCTCCATTCTCCAAAGAGCTAATACTTGAAGGTTCATAGAATGTTGAAATGTATTTTAATAGTCCCCAAGGCATTGTAGAGTTAAAAGCATGAATTAGTGAATCAGAGAGACTGGATTAGAGTACTCACTCTTAGACAAGTTTTCTAAGCTCTTAGTGCCTTCTTTTACTTGTCTGTAAAATGGGAACAATAGTACCTATTTTGTGTTGTCATAACAATAAATAAAACAATTTATGTAAAGATTCTGCCATAGTACCTTGCGCACAGAAAATTAGCAAGAGAGATTTATATTAATCTAAGCAACTCAGATAAAACCTTAATACTTTTAGAGGTCAATATGGATTAGTAGCAAATAATTGTGTTACTAAAACTAATCAATAGTGATTTTTAGTTTAACTCAAAGCCAATCTATAATAACAAAATATTATATGTAATATGTTAATTAGACCAGATGTCCTTCTGGACAAAGCTGGGGCTGCAAGGGAAGCCCACATCCTAGGTGCAAGAGGGAAGCCCGTGCTGGCAGCCAGGGGAAGGAAGGCTTACTCTTGCACGAAGTTCATGCATTGGGCCTCTAGTTTAGTATATGGTCTGCAGCACTGTCCTTTCCAATGGCAATTTTATGCTCAGAATACACACTCCAAAATTCTGCCACATAACTGTGAAATTGAGAACTAGAGGATGCTAGAAAAACTTGAAGGGTAAAGGATAAGAAGGAATGTGATACAGATACAAAGGAATATGGAATGTGATTCAGATACAAAGTCGTTTGTCAATATATTCTCATCTCCTTCCTTTTGTGTGTGTGTTTTTTAATCCTCACCAGAGGATAATTTTCCCATTGATTTTTAGAGAGAGTGGAAAAAAGAGGGAGAGACAGAAACACCGATGTGAAAGAGACACATCGATTGGTGGCCTCCCACATGCCCCCAACCAGGGCAGGGAGCCTGCAATCGAGGTACGTGCCCTAGACCAGAATCGAACCAGGACCCTCCAGTCCACAGGCTCGCACTCTGAGCCATACCAGCTAGGGCTCTCATCGCCTTCCTACATGTAAAGTTTTATTTTGGCATTTTCCAACCAAGTACTTTTTATTTTAACAGGCAAACCATGCCTGCTAGGAAGAACTCCCACACTTACCACTTTAAGAGTCCTTTCTAAACCCCTTGGCCCACATCACAGTCCCAAGTTCATTGCTTCCTGCTTTCATCCCTCCAGGGTTTTATCCTCACTACTTATTCTCCCCTTTGTGCCCTTGCCTCTCTCTCCAAACCAAGTCAGACTCACAACAGTCTGTAACCTTGATTATCTCCAAGACAGAAAGTTATGGTCTCTCTTCAGTCTCATTTTTTTCCAGCTGCCAAAATCTAGCATAACCACCAATATTACTGGGCACCAAAATCTTCTTTGGCTCGAGCTAATTATCTCTGATGCTCACTAACAGTGAACAGTGACTTCAACTCTGCCTCATATAGGCTTATATCCTTGAATAAATTATTTAACATTCTCGGCCTCCATTTCCCAACCTATAAAATGGAACAGCAGCATCTGCCTCACAGAATTGTGAGGATTAAACAAGATGGGATAAGTAAAGTACCCAGAATAGTGCCAGGCACATAATAAGGGTTCTAAACATGTTACATATTTTTATTATTAGGCAAAAATTGAATACACTGGACAGCACTAGGCTAAGGCAGGAATATGTAACTTGTTTTTTTGCTCCCTATCCTCTCACTACCTAGCATGACTAGTTATGACTACCTGCAATACCAGCCTCCTGGCTATTACAGCAGCCTAATGACCACAGCATCCCATGTGTCAGACTGTAATATTTCAACAATGGTAGGACATGACACATCATTTTCACTTTTTTAACAGATCTGAACTCAGAATGATATTTTATATTTATAATTGGGAGCACTTTGGTTTCTAATGGCAAAAACTTGGTGGTATCTCAGATTCAATGAACGAGTTACACAGAAATGAATTCTTTACAGGCCTCCACTGTAGAAACGATGTGTTTCTACATAAAAAAGTACTGCTGTTCATGTTTATCTTTAGTATGATCTCTTGTATGTCATCAACAAACACCAACTAAACTGAAAATAGACTTATTGAATGGGAACGACCTGCCTCCCAAGGCTGTTTAGAACCATGTCTCTGAAAGATTCTGTGGATGCCCCTCCCTGAATCCTCTCATCCCACTTCATCTGTGCCTGGGTTTCTGTGCACATTGAGACCATCCAACTTCAAACACCAGGTTCTTTCTATTTCCTTCAGAGGAAATAGATCACCAGTAAGACAGACCACAGAAAGTGCCTTCCCGGGGATGATTCAAGGCCCCCAGACAGCTGCCCTTATTCAAGGAGGAAAAGGAGCTGGTGAACAAGTATCCCAGCTTTCCCCATCCATTGGAGAAACAGCCCTGCAACACATTCTACACAGCCCCTCAGAGAGTCCCCAGTAAGACTGAGCCCTAGATGCCTAAAGCAAAAAGCCCCTTATTAACATAGCTGTATTGGATTTTCTGCCTCCCTATTCTTATTTTTCTCTCTCCCCGACTGTGCACACCCTAAATAAATTACCTGCACTTGAGTCTAGATCTCAGCCCCGGCTTTCAGGAGAATTTTTAAATGTAATGCAAAAAGAAAAGAAAAAACACAAGCAGTGGGCGCATGTATTCACATAAGTGATAAAAAAGAATAGGTCATTCTTCCTCCTTGCCGATTACATCTCCATGGGAGGCTGAGAAGTACAGAGAAATGCAGGCTTTCCATGAGAAATCTCTGCAGCACACAAATACACCATTGAGGGAAGCCTGCCTACCCTTTCCATGCTCATTGTTCATCTCACTGACAACATATTTCTGAATTCTTACTGGCACAGATATCTATCCATCAGTGTTCTGTCTTCCTAGAGCAGGGGAATGAATCTGGAGAGAAGAACGCACTTAGATGAAATTTCAGTCCTAAACAGTGCAACACATGATTATGACTTCATTGTTTTTCTTTAACATTTATCCTTTTAAAATGTGTTCCAAAAAAAATGAAATAATATAACAAATAAAATAAAATGTGTTCAAATAATCCTGATGTGTGTGCTTTAGTTTCAGGAGACAAAAGGGCAAGTGTCTTATTCTTTTCTCTCTAAAAGAGAAATCAAAACAAGGTGAGTTCCTAACATATTAACAAAAAGGGGGTATTAACGTAACTACTGTGGAGTAAATTATACAAATTCTAAGACATTTATAAGAACAATAATAAAGGTGGTACAAAAGTAGTTTTACAGTTGTTTATATGGAAAATAATGTAATAATAAATAATACTACAAGAATAAACTCTGTGTTTCACATACTCACATCTATAAACCTACTTTTCCCCACACTATGTAATCCCAATAATAGGTCACTTCATGTGACAACTGTAGGATATGTCTCAAGGTTCTTCAGTCTAGTGGGTTCAATAGAATTCAGTGTTTCTCAAAAATTGGATTTTCTACTGAGTCAAAATGATGTCTTTTTGTGGTTAATTTTCTCTACTGGCAAACATGTACATATAATTTCTCAGAGAAAGATCATTTTAACTACTTCACATGATACATAAGTATTTAAGTACACCAAACACTCTTTATAGGAAAAAATAAAATAGTTCCATTTCATATATAATCCTTTGCCCATTTCAGCACACCTATCACTCGATTAAAATAAATTAGTTCTGTCTTCTAAATTGTCACAACAGCTATCAAATCTCTTTTAATTCTTTCTAATTAACACCAAAAAAATTTTTAAATGTAGGCATTTACCAGAAATATATTGCATTTCTGCATTTGACAAAAGCATCCTTGAATATACATGTATGTGCTGTTTACTATCTAAATACTCAAATCATATTACTTTCCAAAGAAATGCCTTTAAGTTAGGATTCTTTCTTTTGCCATCCATCTTTTATAGAGAAAATTAAAAAAACAACACTCATTTGAACATTCCAACCATAGTTTGAAGATATTGCAATTATATTATCCAATATCCTTTATATAAAAAGGTCAAGGCAAAAAGACATCCTCAAGTTCAATGCTATCCCACTCCTAAAAAAAAAAAAAAAAAAAAAAAAAAAAAAAAAAAAAAAGGTTACCTCTTCAGAGTGCCTATAACTTAAATTTATACAAAAGCAGTTTGTCAGGGACGTCTGATGACCTTTGCAGTATTTAAGTATTTAACTGCAATCATTTACAGCTTTCTTGGCTCCATTTGCTTGTGTTTGTTCTGTTGTCATTGTCCTGATTTTGGGGCTTAATTTTTAAACCCATTAAAATTTTCTGGCAAGTAGATGAGATTGAATCTCCCACAAATGCTATGAGCCTCTCAGCAGGAAACGGAGGTGAACAGCAAATACACAAATAAATGTGAACTAAGCATAAATTGGAGGGGCAGCAGAAAGGCAGTAGAGAAGTTACTTTGCCTCTTCCTCCTCCTTCCTGTCTTGTTTTTAGCATTTTATTCCCTTCCACAACGGTCTCATTGTTGAAGTGACAGCAGAGTCCCAAAGCAGAATGGATTGTTTCTCTGCCTCTCTCTCCATCGGAGGCATAACCTACCTGCGCTGCTAAAAGAGCTCTTTTCTGTCGATTTTCATTAAATCCGTTTCTGGAAGAAAACAAAAAGAACTTGTATAGTCAAAGGACCCAAGGCAACCTGAACAAGCCTTTCCCAAGAGAGGGCTGGTGTTTTCCTCCTGATTTCCATCACGGTATCAAAGAGGTCTTTCTTAGCCTAACATTGAAAAGATCCCCCTCCCCATTTGGGAGGGGTTAGATTTGGGTGGTGGTGCTGTCTCATTTTACAAAATTCGGAGGAGTGTCCCCAAATCTCTCCTGCCTCTGATCTAAACGAATTTTAGGAAGCAACTTCAAGATAGAGAAATAAACAAAGTAGTGTAGTATTTTAGCACCAGCATGCATGCTATTTTCACCTCATGACTTTATAAAACTGGTGAGATAAGTATTTGCCCAGAGCACGTTCACTTTTATCAAACCTAATATTCACTCCTTTACCATGTCATAAAGGGCAGGATAGCATTAAAGTGGGTAAGCACATCATACTGAGATTTATCAAACTCAATGGGGAACAGAATTCTGCTTTTCATTAAGCAGATCAGTTTAATCCAAAGAATGATTTTCATTATTTAGTGTCAGATCAATTTTGTTACTTTTTTAAACTATACTTTTATTGATTTCAGAGAAAAAGGGAGAGAGAGATAGAAACATCAGTGATGAGAGAGAATCATTGATCAGCTGCCTCCTGCATGTCCCATACTAGGGATAGAGCCCACAACCTGGGCATGTGCCCTCACCAGGAATCAAACCATGACCATGGTTCATAGGTCAATGCTATGACCTATGCCAGCCAGGTCAATTTTATTCTTTTTAACCATTAAAAGGTGTTTAACTCTATGTTAAGATACAGCACATTTGTAATCAGCAATGTACATTGATGATAATAATATAAAATGGGTAATTACTGAGTATAACTTCTTTACAAAATTTTGAATTGAAAGTAATGTCTCTTTAGTATCAACAGTCTTTGGATACCTCCAAGAACTCCTCTCTCATTAAAATAAAAGTGGAAAAAAATGCTTCATAAATAAGCAACTGAATGCTTGATAATTTTCAATTTGTGGAAATGTTTTAAAGAACTACATATAATGCCCTTATTTTGTAAAATATTTTCTTTATTTTTTAAAGCGGATATAGTTATTGCTTATTCTTACTTGCTTTATGTTTCAGAGGACATAAAGAACAAGAAATACTCACTTTGATGTTTCCGTCAGGATGGATGATGCACAAATATATCCTGCTAGAGGAAAATAAAGAAATAATCAAATATATATATTACAAATATCTTGGTCACATGTTCTGATTATTAAGCAGATAATTTTAAACTGGATTCTAAAACTCAGACTGAGTATTGCTCTTACATATTTTGCATTTTCTGAAAGATTTTAACCAGCAAATTCCCTGTGAGACACCAGAGTGACTAGTAATCCAGAACGAAGGAGTAATGCACCTAGATTTATGCAGAGACATAACACTAGGACAAGCATGAGACTTGGTGTCCAGAGATCCAAGTTTTAGTCTTGGCCCTACCACTTAGCAAATGGCAAACTCCAGCATGCAACCATACATATCACAAAATAATGATGTTAGACACATTTATCTCCAAAGTCCACTCCTCATCTCGACTCTCTATGACATTTTGTCCGAGGAGCTTCAGCCACTTACTAGGATTAGAAAATAGTTTCTTTGACCTCACTAGTCTTTTATACTTAGTAATTTCTCCCTCTTCTCCTACAAGCTCCAAAATATACAGCTCTTTTAGGAATTAGAAATTAACAAATATTTTGGGGGGTAAATAAGTTCTTTCCCCATAAAATATTTTTATAAAAATGAATTTATATATAAGATTGCTATAAAATAACTGAAAATCAAATTTTAGCACCAAATGTTAAAGTCTTTCTTAAAACATCTGTTTACCCATTCTTCAGTCTACTGGTATAAAGAAAATTTTAGTACTCAATTTCTCTTTAGTTATAAAATTTTAAATGATTAAATTACAGAGACAAATATTTTTAAATCACTCTTCAGAAGATAAAAGTTAGAATCAGAGCTTCTTTCAGTACAGTTGCATTACATAATAAAATCATGGTTTAACATTAAAAAAAAAGACAAAAACACAGAAGTCTCAAATTATCTATATTATTTAAATTTAAAAAAAAAACGATCTGTTCACTGTCATTACTTCAAAGTAAGTGCTTTATGGTATAAGGACCAACTATTCCTAAGGACCAACTATTCCTATCAGCTGCAACAAAGACTAAAATACAATGAAATAAGGTAAAAATTTTATATGAGTTCTTACCTTGCAATGAAAACAGCAGTATATGAAGCAAGAATATACTCCAAGGTATCATTAAATTGAGTTTTCTCACAATGTTCATTTCAGTGTAGACTTTCTCCCTAAAATGTAACCAGATTGTTGTTCTTTTCTATGATGGCATCTTAGAAGGTTATGTGTTTGTAGAGTGGTCAAATTCTTATAAATACAGCTTAGCAAAAAAGTAATTCATAAAGGCATTCCCGTCTTTCTAACTACATACAAGATCTGAAGCTTTAGAGATTGCAGGCAACCTTTTGGCTGAGTCTCTCATTAGTAATGCATGGCAGCCTCTTACCTGAGCCTGTATTAGTTACACCCTATCTTGATCTTGCACATCATACGCCTTGTTAGCCTATGCTAACATTTTATAACTTCCAAAGACAGCAGCATCAGAAAACAAAAACCAAACAAAAACATTAACTGCTGGTGTCATTTGAGATCATCATTATTCCTAATTATTCATCTATTCTCTGTGTTTTATTCATAAAATAATTACTGTCCTTTGGAAAAGGTGAAATCCAATCCAATCAATCTTTCCCAGAAGGTCTACACGTTCTCATAAATTTTCTTTAAGAATTAAAAGTAAACTAAGATTATGTGCAAATGTTTTCAACTCCACTCCCATGACAGTGTATAATAGTTTAAATTAATAAATTATGTACCCACAGATATTTCTATTAAACATTCTGCAACAAAGCAGAAAATAACACAGAGATAGTATTCTAATATGTAACTTTAAAAAGAAAAGAACTCATCCAGCTTGAAAACCTTCCCTTAACACCTCATTTTTTCATCCTCCATAACAAGCACCCAACTAGACAACAAAGGGGTCTTCATATTCCAGGAGTAAGTAGTTTCTTCCCTGGAAGCAGTTGTCCATTTGCCTGGAATCAGAGAACAGCTCGAATATTTCATAGCAAACTCCATAGGAGTGATTTAAGCCCCAGGAGTTACCTGTATTATCAGCAGACTCATTCAATGGAGCATAGCAGTAGGAATGTCTAACTATGGAACTATCTTATAAGACAACAACAACAACAACAACAACAACAAAAAATCACTCTTTTTATTGTCTTGTACCAGACACCTCTTCCGCAATGACTTCCCAGTCCTTTCTGTAAAGTTCTAATTATTGCATGTCCAATATCTACTACATAAACAGGTATTTGTGCCCCAAATTTGATGATCATTTTCTCTTTCTATACTCTCTTATTCACTTTCCATTGCTTACCTTATTGCTAATTTAGCCAAGAGAAGATGTTTCCCTATAAATTCATGTTTTAAGCATGAAGCTATGCTCATACTTTATTAAAAGTATAAGTACCTATGTGCCTATGTAACATATATACATGCTTATATACTCATTTTATGATTTTGATGGCTAAGTTTAAATAATTTTATTATAGTTTGTGTTTAATAGATTTTATTAAATGTTTATTAACTATTATACTTAAAGTAATTAAATAATCACTTAAATTAATTAGACAATAAATTAATATGTTTCTAAGCAGATTTACCTATTTATAGTTGCATCCTAAATATTGATCCAAAAACATGTCTCTACTTAACCACAATCAAAACTATAACATATACTAGACACTTAATAAAATGTGACTATAGAATAAATTAAAAGGTTAAGTTTGAAATTTGCTTATAGAACAATAATTTTCCTCCAAAGAAATTTTAAAACTAAGGGCAACAATTTTGTTTCTGCAGAATGCTTATTGCCTCTCTGGAAAGAATGTAAATATACATAACTAATATTTATTACTAAGTACTTTTCTTAATTTACAATAGTTTCTCTTGGTTTCATAAGTAAACCTAGGGGTCAACTTAAAATATGAAGAATCTGAAAACCATACTTTAACATGTTTTTTCCAATCTAGTAACTGCTTAACTTTTTTTAACTTAAAAAATTTCACAAGTGACACACATATCGAAAAATCCCAAATGAAAATCAAAGTTGAATTTCATGTTTCAGAAATAAACATTTTAGTAATACTCATAGTTATTTCTAAACATTAAAACCATGTGAAAAGTATTTATTTCTAATATAAACTTAGATACCTTAGGTTCTTAATTCAAATACAATAACTATGAAAATTTTACCTCAGATTTCATATAGTATCTTTAAACAGCCATTTTTAGTGACTAAGATTAAACATTCCTAGGCTACAGTATATGGCATTTATTTTTATTTTATTTATTTTTTATTGATTTCAGAGAGGAAGGGAAAGGGAGAGAGAGGGAAAAAAAAATCAATAATAAGAGAGAATCATTGATTGGCTGCCTCCTGCACATAGCACACTGGGAATCAAGCCCATAACCCAGGCATGTGCCCTTGACTGGAATTGAACCTGGGACCCTTCAGTCTGCAGGCCAATGCTCTGTCCACCTAGCTAAACCAGCTAGGGCTTATCTGGCATTTTTATTACTGCTTTTCTGTTTTAAACTACATGCATTTAAAAATTATAACTTGTTGTGTTTGGTAATATATATATATATATATATATATATATATATATATATATATATATATAGTGAGAATCTTGACAGGGTGACCATTCTTCTTCAGATAGATTTAATGTATGATCTCTTTCTATTTCTCCTCCATCCAGGCTTATAATAGGTAGGAGATTGGTAAAGGAGAAGGGAAAGTGGCAAAGAAAACAAAAGAAATCTCAAGTACTTTTTTTCAAATAACTACATTATGAACTCATTACATTAAATGGTAGGCTGCATGAAAATAGGCAAAATAGACTCCCATGAATAGGTACAAAGAATAGAGAGTTTAGATGAAAGATTAGACCCACAGCCACACAATAAAGGAATTTATGACTGTGCTACATGTCGTTATTACTGTCAAACTTTAGTTGACAGCTTTTATGTTTCATTCTACTCTGACAAAGGAACTTTGGCAAAAAGTAAGTCAGCCACCAGCTTGTGAAGAGATATTAAGTTCATAAGAAGCCTGAGGCGACCACATAATGCATGAAATAAACAGTTCCCTTTCTGCTACAAGAACACTGCACATTTTCCCACATGGAATATGATCTTTAGAAAGTTGACACCTGACAGCCTATTGGCCTCAAAAACACCACAATAAAAACAATTGGCAAGGATGGGAAAATGTTGGCCTAAGTTTTTATGTCAATGACAAAAAAAGGAGAGGGTTATTGTTAATGAAGTTCATCATCTTTGGGAAAAAATAATTTCTTTGGTAATTTATATAACAGTCATTTTTCATTAATTGAGATCACATCTAAAGTAGATAACATTTGATTCCCATCATATCACATTCTACTAGTGAAATGCAATTATTCCTCACTTGCTTTGCTAAACCCCTAACACATTTCAGGTTTAGTGATTCTATCCAGAATTTAGTTTATCACAGAGCAAGCAAAAAGCATCCTATATCTTTGACATATTTTTCACCATGCTAAATTTAACTGCCATATTAGAAGATAGTTTTGCAGTATTCTATTTATGCTTTCAGGAGGTGTGTTGCTTGGCAACTTCTGGGTTGTTTGACATCATTTAATTTACAAATGCATCTGTCTCAGTTTTTCTGAATAAAGACATGCTTATTATGTGTCATCGGCAATACCTGTGTTGGTCATGATTTCAAGTTAAAGCTCACTCTCATAAGTTAGTGTTATATTTTATAGGAACATGAATTTTTCAAGTTGCTATTGATTTGCAATATCTGACTGATACCTTGAAAGAAGTAATGTTCCTACAACTAAAGTTTCCTCTTGTCAACATTTTAACTTCAAGGTCAAGGTATAAAATCAATATTTCTGTCAGTTGTCTTCATTCTTTATACTACTATCGCACTGTGCATTTGCACTTTATAATACACTGAATATAAAATGATTTATATACTTGTGTTTTCAATTCCATTTTATATTTTCAGTTACTTTAGATGTACCTGTTTTAGAGTCACTGAGAGATTATATTACTTGAATATTCAGGAGAAGGTGGGGTCTAGCCCCATTGTTTGCTGTGTTTGCTTTTCACACGTAGGGTGGATTACCTCATGGATTTTGTAATTTTGATTTTGGGTTCATTTCTGGCATTTTCATTTTTCATGGGAATCCTTTACTGCCAGGATAGTGGATGGGTTCCTTCATAAAAGATTTTGCATCTACTTCTTCCAATTGTTCCAGGAATTTTGTGTTAATTTCTCAGTTTGAAGATTCTAAAACCATGATCTAATCCCAAACCCAAAGTGAAAAAAGGTCAAGTTTAATTTCTGCTTTGTTTTTGGCTTCTGAGAATGTTCCTTACATCTTTGTGAACTCATCTACCACTCACATGAATGCCTCATATTTTATCCAGCATGTCCAAGTATTTCATAGCTGGCACATTTTTAGATCTCCTAACCCACCATATTATCATAAACAGAACCACCAACTATCAAAAATTATGTGTGGTCATTTTCTAGGTTACTACTTTATATATTTGCAACTTACCTTTTCAGCAAAATTTACAAATTTGTGATTCATAAATGACTACTTATCTAATTTGACTCTTCTACTAACTTTACCTAATATAAAGCAGATAACTATCGGGTCTAGTAATAATTAATGTCGTTTTTAACATTCGTTTAAAATCTTGCTTGGCATTGACTTGTATTGACATAACCTTCAAACACGTGGTATCTACAGAACGTGTGAAGTGCAATTAACAAGTTTTGCTTGAAAAAGTTTGTGTTTGGTTTGGTTTTTGTTGCAAAACTAGGGCTAAGAAGATGGCGGATGAAGAGCATATTCGGCACTGCATGCTTTAAGAGTTCCAATTAGGAAGAAAAGCAAGTGAGGCTGCAAAAAACATCTGTAGTGCTCTTGGTCAAGATGCAGTTAGCGCCAGAAAATGCCAGCGTTGGTTTGAGAAATTTCGCGAGGGAAATTTTTCGTTAGATGACAAGAGTGGTCGAGGCCGTGTGTCCAATTTTGATCAAGAAGCTCTTCAAGCTCTTTTGGTGCAAAATCCTCAAATTACCCAACAAGAGCTTGCGACAACTTTAAATTGTTCACAAAAAACAATTTCCAATCAATTGCGTGCACTTGGCAAAGTCCAAAAGTTTGGAAAATGGGTTCCTCATGAGTTGACCGACAACAACCGTAATCAAAGAGTCACAATTTGTAGTTCGCTCCTCTCTCGTCAAAACTGTTTGCCGTTTTTAGAGCAAATTGTTACCGGAGATGAAGAATGGGTGCTGTATGTTAA